ACAACAAAGGACCAACAGGATCGGAAGGCAGTCGGACATGTGGACAAGGACAAGGACAAACACAGCACAGACATCAACTTGTGGACAAGTGGACAAGGACAAGACCATCAACTTTTGGACTAGTGGACAGGGAACACCATCCTTTAGACAGGGACATCAACTTTTGGGTAAGTGGACCAGAGGATATGTGGACAGCACACATCGGACAAGTGGACAAGGACAGGGGCAAACACAGCACAGACATCAACTTTTGGACAAGTGGACAAGGACAGGAACATCATCTTTTGGACAAGTGAACAGGGAACCTCAACTTGTGGACAGGGAAATCAACTTTTGGACACGTGGACAAGAGGACAAGTGGACAGCAACAATCGGACAAATAGACAAGCTCGGGCAGGGACACACACAGCACAGACATCAACTTTTGGACAAGTGGACAAGGACAGGAACATCAACTGTTGGACAAGTGGACAAGGAACATCATCTTTTGGACAGGGACATTAACTTTTGGACAAGTGGACAAAGGGACAAGTGGACAGCAAACATCGGACAAGTGGACAAGGACAGGGACAAACACAGCACAGACATCATTTTTTGGACAAGTAGACAAGAACAGGGACATCAACTTTTGAACAAGTGGACAGGGACATCAACTTTTGGACAGGGACATCAACTTTTGGACAAGTGGTCAAGAGGACAAGTGGACAGCAAAAACCGGACAAGTGGACAAAGACAGGGAAGCACACAGCACAGACATCAACGTGTGGACAAGCGGACAAGGACAGGAACATCAACTTTTGGACTAGTGGACAGGGCCCGGGACGTCATCTTTTTTGTACAGGGACATCAACTTGTGGACATGTAGACAAGAGGACAAGTGGACAGCAGAAATCAGACAAGTGGACAAGGACAGGGAGAAACACAGCAGAGGCATCAACCGTTGGACAAGTAGACAAGAACAGGGACATCAACTTTTGGACAAGTGGACAGGGAACATCAACTTTTGGACAAGGACATCAATTCTTGAACAAATCAAGAAGACAAGTGGACAGCAATAGTCGGACAAGCGGACAGGGACAGGGACAACCACAGCACAGACATCACCTTTTGAACAAGCGGGCAAGGACAGGAAAATCAACTGTTGGACAAGTGGACAGGGGACATCAGGTTTTGGACAGGGGCATCAACTGTTGGACACGTGGACAAGAGGACAAGTGGACAACAACAATCGGACAAGTGGACAAGGACAGGGACACACACGGCACAGACACCAACTTTTGAACAAGTGGACAAGGGCAGGAACATCAACTTTTGGACAAGTGGACAGGGGACATCAACTTTTGGACAAGGACATAAACTTTTGGACATGTGGACAAGAGGACAAGTGGACAGCAAACGTAGGACAAGCGGAAAAGGACAGGGGCAAACACAGAACAGACATCAACATTCGGACACGCGGACAAGGACAGAAACGTCAACTTTTGGACAGGTGAACTGGGAACATCAACTTTGGGACAGGGACATCAATTTTGGACAAGTGGGCAAAGAGGACAGGTGGACAGCAAAAACCGGACAAGTGGACAAGGACAGGGACAAACACAGCACATGCATCATCTTTTGGACAAGCGGACAAGGACAGGAACATCAATTGTTGGACAAGGGGACAGGGAACATCAACTTTTTAACATGGACCTCAACCTTTGGACAAGTGGACAAGAGGACAAGTGGACCGCAAAAACCGACAGTGGACAAAAACATGGACAAACGCAGCACAGGCATCAACGTTTGGACAAGTGGGCACGGGCAGGAACATCAACTGTTGAGCAAGTGGGCAAGAACAGGGACATCAACTTTTGGGCAGGGGCATCAACTGTTGGACAAGTGGTCAAGAGGACAAGTGGGCAGCAGAAATCGGACAAGTGGAAAGAGGCAGGGACAAACACAGCGCATACATCAACTTTTGGATTTTGGACAAGCGGACAAGGACAGCAACATCCACTTTTGGACAAGCGGACAAGGAACATCAACTCTTGGACAGGGACATTAACTTTCGGACAAGTGGACAAGTGGACAAGTGCACAGCACAAACTGGACAAGTGGACCCGGCCAGGGACAAGCGCAGCACAGAAATCAGTTGTTGGACCAGTGGGCAAGGACAGGAACATCAACTCTTGGACACGTGGACAGGGAACATCAACTTTTGGACATGGACATCAACTTCTGGACAGCAGGGCGACAGGACAAGTGGGCAGCAAACATCGGGCCAATGGACAAGGACAGGGACAAACACAGCACAGACATCCACTTGTGGACAAGTGGGTAAGGACAGGAACATCAACTGTTGGACAAGTGGGCAGGGAACATCAGCTTCTGGACGGGGGCATCAACTTTTGGACAAGTGGGCAAGAAGACATGTGGACAGCACAAATCGGACAAGTGGGCCAGGACAGGGACAACACACAGCGCAGACATCGAATGTTGGGCAAGTGGGCACGGACAGGAACATCAACTGTTGAAGAAGTGGACAGGGACCATCAACTTTTGGACAGGGCCATCAACCTTTGGACAAGGGGACAAGGGGACAAGTGGACAGCAAGAATCGGACACGTGGATCGGGGCAAGGACAATCGCAGCACATACATCAACGTTTGGACGAGTGCAGATGGGCAGGAACATCAATTTTTGGAACAGCGGCCAGGAAACATCAACTGTTGGACAGGGGCATCAACTGCTGGACAAGTGGACAAGAGGACAAGTGGACATCACAAATCGGACAAGTGGACATGCACAAGGGCAAACACACTACAGACATCAACTTTTGACAAGTGGGCGAGGACAGGAACGCCAACGTTTTGACAAGTGGGCATGGAACGCCAACTTTTGGACAGGGGCATCAACTTTTGGACAACTGGGCAGGAGGACAAGTGGACATAACAAATCGGACAAGCGGACAATGACAGGGACAACACGCAGCACAGGCATGAGCTTTTGTAGAAGCGGACAAGGGCAGGAACATCAACTGTTGGGTAAGTGGGCAGTGAACATCAACTTTTGGACAGGGGCATCAACTTTTGGACAAGGGGACAAGTGGGCAGCGCCAATCGGACAAGTGGACAAGGACAGGGAAAACATAACACAGACATCAAATGTTGGACGCGTGGACAAGGACAGGAACATCAATGTTTGGACACGTGGACAGGGGGCATCAACTTTTGGACAGGGGCATTAACTTTTGGACAAGTGGACAAGTGGACAGCAAAAACCAGACAAGTGGACAAGGGCAGGGACAACCACAGCACAGGCATGAACTTTGGGAATATTGGACAAGGACAGGAACATCAATTTTTGGACAAGTGGGCAGGGAACGTCAACTTTCACAGGGACATCTACTGTTGGCCAAGTGGACAAGTGCACAGCAAAAACCAGACAAGTGGACAAGGACAGGGACAGCCACAGCACAGGCGTGAACTCCTGGACAAGCGGACACGGGCAGGAACATCAACTGTTGGACAAGGGGACAGGGAACACCGACTTGTGGAAGGGGGCATCAACTTGTGGACAACTGGACAAGAGGACAAGTGGACAGCACAAATTCGAAAGTGGACAAGCACAGGGACAAGCACAGCACACACATCAACTTTTTGACAAGGGGACAAGGACAGGATAATCATTTTTTGGACACGCGGACAGGGAACATCGACTTTTGGTCAGGGACATCAACTTTTGGACAAGTTGACAAAAGAACAAGTGGACAGCGCAAACCGGACAAGTGGACAGGGACAGGGACCACCACAGAACAGGCATGAGCTTTTGAACAGGTGGACATGGACAGGAAAATCAACTCTTAGATAAGTGGGCAGGGAACATCAACTTTTGGACAAGGCCATCAACTTTTGGACAAGTGGAAAGGAGGACACGTGGACAGGAAAAAACCAAACAAGTGGACAAACACAGGGACAACGCAGCACAGGCATTAACTGTTGGACAAGTGAACAAGGACAGGAACATCCACTTTTGGACAAGTGGACAGGGAACATCAACCTTCGGACAGGGACATCAATCAACTTCTGGACAAATGGGCAAGAGGACAAGTAGACAGCAAAAACCGGGCAAGTGGACAGGGACAGGGACAACCACAGCACAGACATGAACTTTTGGACAAGTGGACGAGCACAGGAACACAAACTTTTGGACAAGTGGGCAGGGAACGTCAACTTCTGGACAGGGACATCAAATTTTGGACAACTGGACGAGAGGACAAGTGGGCAGCAAAAAGCGGACAAGTTGACAAGGACAGGGACAAACAGCACAGGCATCAACTTTTGGATCAGTGAACAAGGACAGGAACATCAACTTGTGGACAAGTGGGCCAGGGAACATCAACTTTTGGACAGGGACATCAACTGTTGGACAACTGGACAAGATGACAAGTGGACAGCACAAATCGGACAAGTGGGCAAGGACAGGGACAACCACAGCACAGGTATGAATTTTGGAGAAGTGGACGAGGACAGGAACATCAACATTTGGATTCGTGGGCAGGAAACATCAACATTCGGACGGGGA